GACCCTCTGCTCTATGCAACACCGAATGTATTTAAGAGAGTTGCCTCAAAGATTTCTGGAATAAAGAGATCTTTTTGTGATTCTAAACTTGGAACAGAGTGCGGATAAAAAAACTGGTTTGTCTCCAAGTTTTTTCCCTCACTCCTAGTGTCCTTCTACTCTCTCTCTCTCTCTTGAAGGTGGAAGTCTGGGCAACCAAAAAAACCTATTCACACAATTGCTTCATGATTGGTTTACAGATACCAGAAACCTTACGAATTAGGAACATAAGCAGGCGTTTTATTTACCAAGAACTTCAACAAATACAAATATTGCTGCCCCCTAAAAGTCGACATGATAATTAACCTAACCTGAACCAGATATCTCGGTTTCGCCTGTTATTGCGTCTACACATTTCTTAAAGACTGTAACCTTAATTTACTTTTACCTTAACTTTATTTCAAGTCTCATTTGCCCTCTGTTAGTTTAGATTGTTCTGTATATAAATATAGCTGTGAATGAGGTTTCCAAAGCTTAAATGAAAAGAAGAAGAAGAAACATAATCGTTTTAGGAACCATGTCTTTAGAATACCAGTTCGTACCAGCTCGACCAGTGACACTCGATGGCAGGCAATGTCTCTGCAGCTGCTGCGATCAAGAGCACGCGAACCTTCTGTTTTATGTTTACTGCCTGGTCTCGTTGGACAAACTATAGCTTGCTTATCCTGCCATTTCCTGCCCCATTATCCATCACTCGTGTTACCTGATGCGCTCACTTGAATTTTTGGACAAAAAGGTCGTATCCTGTATGTTTTTTTACCAGCTACATGATGCAATGAAAAAAATGTGTAGTTGTACGAGGAAAAAACACCATCGATGACCTTGAAAATGACCCAAGACGCGACAATAAACATGTTTGTTATTTACCGTATCTTTTAGCAGCTTGAAATATCGCAATATCGTAATTCATAGTGGAATACTCGACGCGAGAAATAATCGATATATGACGTTCATTTATGGCAAACGTGGCCAACGTTTGAGGTGCGTCTTGGCCATGGTTGTGTCATCACGGTGGATTATACGTGAAACTTAAATTTTCAAGGTTACGTTCTGTACATATCTGAACAATATTTTACACAACGTAATAAAATATATATATATATATATGTATACATATATATAATAAATTGTGTGACAAGAAAAACATCAATGACCTTGAAAACTCCTTGGAGGAAAAAAGATATTAGTACCAGTCATAATGGCTATATTTCGATACCATTTATGTTAAGTGAATAGCGTGAATTGTTCTTATTTATTTAGTACATATTTAGTTGGTCGAAAGCAGAGGGGAGTCGAGTCACATGCCCATTGCCGATGATTTGTCGGGTCAGGCACGAGCCGAGCGAATGTTCTCGCGCAAAGGGAGCGATTATCGGCGATAATTTGTTTGATTCGTGTTTTACACTGTTTGCGCAGTCGGCCGACTGACTGGCGTGGTCACGAGTTACGTTTTAATGAGATTTAATCGAGATGTCGCCAACACGCGACGATTCTCCTTCGGATGAATGAATCATACTGATGAAAACTTTGGAATTCGTTTCGCGTTTGTGGAATTCTACGACTCTGTTTGTCTCTGTGATGAATCTTTTAACTCCTTGCGCTGCAATGACGTGCCACTCTCGTCGAGAATTTTTTGCCCCAAAGTTGCAATATTTTCTTAGTTTTGTAGTATATTGAAATATAGTCCAGAAGGCAAAACAAATAATAAATTCATTACTTCTTAATAATTCTATCCAGCGAAAAAGAAAGCGACGAATTGTTTTGCACGGTTTGGTCACTCGTTATGGTCCGCAAACCAGTTGCCAGCGCGAGAGGTTAAAATCGTAATTTGAAATAGATTAGGATTTTATACGACAAAATAAATTGCAATATTTTCTTAGATTTAACTATATTCGAATACAAAAGGGTAAAACAAATAATAAATTTATTACTTCTTAGTAATTCTAT